TGTCCGGGCGTGTACACACGATAGGAATAAGAAGCATAAAAACGCACGTAAACGATTTTTATACAACCGCACCGTTCGGGAAAATACTCTGCAATCCTTTTAACATGCGCGTTATTTATACGTTGTTTATATATGCGGTCAGATATACTAAATAACCCAATGGCTATACAGATATACAAAGTGGAAAAGGTCAAAGGATGCACCGAGATAACGGAACGCGCGTCTCCGTCCTTGAAAAGCATTCTAGTTGCACAGGTCGCTTTCTAAAGTTTTAAAGCGCACGAGCTGTATATCTAACCCTGCAAATTACCATAATCGGCTTTTGCAGCATCGATTATGCGAATCGTGGCCGAAGCCCCGGTTCACGCTATACCTCTTCAAATTCGTGCTGGGGGCCGCGAGCATAATTTTTTTTCACCCGCTAAACTTTAACCGCGAATATGTAAATTCAGAATTTTTACCACTGCGAGATAAGGCCGCACGTGTAGAGTGTAAAAAAAAAAAAATTTATTTACGCTCGCGTGTGTTTATATTCGTCGATCGAGCGACATTTGAGCGAAGTTTCGTCGAAATACATCGTATATATAAAAGGTCGGGGAGAAAACGTGTGACAGCTATAGAATTTCTAACGTTAGGAAAGAATCAAACAAGTTCAAGGTTCACTTTATATGTTGAACTTTATATAACGAACATTTGACCTCTCCGTCCCTAGAGCTATACAACGGAAATGTGTCGATGAAGAGCACTCGATGAAATTGGAAACTATGTCAAGTGTCTTTTGATAAAAGGAGAAGATTCGTGGGGGCGAGAAAAACTGCAAAAGAGAGCGGTATTGCAGATTCCAGAAATCGTACCGAGCTTAAGAAGTTCCTCGTTAGCCTCCGAACGAAAATCAGTTGAGGTAATCGAATATCCTTTTCTCTAAAGGACCTTTCATCTTTTTCTTTTATTCGACTTTTATTGGAAAACGCAGTTTCGCGCTTAATTTCGTACTTGCGTTTACGAGGAGCTTTTCAACAGATAACGTTTATCTATAATAGGAATGCGCGACCTCGCGCTGACAAATGGCGCCTTTATCTCGGCCTTATACCGCCTTTTCATCGGTCCAGCGAATTATTCGACCCTTCGATAAGGGAGGGAATAAGTTTTCGACGGCGCAAATGCCATTATTTAAGCAAGGCGGCTTAACTCCATCAAACTTATTCCGAACTGTCTTATCTCCGGCGACGTTCAATTTCGAGAACAATCCGACGTAATCGCTAATCCTTTGCCGATTCTGCAGCCGTTTTAGGAACGCGAATTGTGCAGACGTTCCTCTTGATTTGAATTTCGAGAAATAATTAAACCAGCTCTGAAGAGCTTTCTATACTATAGGGTGTCTCAGATCTATCGTATCATACGTTAATGAGAGATTCCTGAGGTGATTTGGAGACGAAAATGTCTAGGCACCAATAATTTGCGAGTTATAAACTATTGGAATTAAAAGCTTTTTTGTAAACCTTGTAAAAATAAATTATTAACAAAACTACATTTTTTAATTAATTTCAGGTAAAGTTTATTTTAATGGAATTTTAAATTAAAGCTTAGTTACAAAGATACATGATTTCAAAAATTGGAAACATTAAAAAATGATAACCTTTCTCGATATTTTTGCTGAGGAAAAATCGTCTCCAAATCGCTTCAGGAATATCTCCCATTAATGTGTAATACGGTAGGTCTGGGACACTATATATATATATATATATATATATATATATATATATATTGATTCGAGATAGGGAGAATTTAGTTTTCGTGTTTACACGTGTATATATATTTTCGTGCACGGCTGGGCAAATATTTTCCTCCTTTTTTTAGCCGATTTGTCAAATTCACGACTTATACTACTTGAAAGTTTCTGGGAAAGTATCGATTGCAGCCGCTATCGTTGCTATTCGCCGGCACCGCAGGGCGAACTTTTAACGTTTTCGCGTGCTTCGGACACATCGACCGGCAACTTCCAAAGCGATCGTTAAAGTAGCGGTAACCCTCGAACGATTCTTATAGGCGCCGTCCGGGATCATGCAATTTGCCGGAATTTGCATTTTTCCTCCTAGTCTCATCGAACTGACTCGGAAAAGAGAGACTCGTAATTGGTTAAGATTATAACGTTTTTAAGAATATTACATGCTTTTATATCTTCCTTTATTTACGACATGAGAAAAATCTGTCTGATCGATATTTGATGTAACGCCCATATAATTATCGCGTTTTCTATTAGATATTCCTCAACACCGATAATACTCTTTATTTAAAGTCAATTCTAAGACAAGTCGTAATTGGTCAAGATTAATATAATAACGTTTTAAGAATATTACATGCTTTTATATCTTTTATCTTTTTTTTATACGAGAAAAATCTGGAAATTTGTCTGTTCGATATTTAAAGCAACGCACATAATTATCGCGTTTTCTATTCGATATTACTCAAAGTCGATAATACAATTAAAAAAAGTTAATTCTAAGACAAGTTGTAATTGGTTAAGGTTATAACACTTTTAAGAATATTACATGCTTTTATATCTTCCACTTTTTTCCGATACGAGAAAAAATCTGGAAATTTGTTTGATCGATATTTAAAGCAATGCACATAATTATCGCGTTTTCTATTAATTAAAATTTATTTCTAAAGCAAGTCGTAATTGGTTAAGATTATAACACTTTTAAGAATATTACATGCTTATATCTTCCACCTTTTTCTGATACGAGAAAAAATCTGGAAATTTGTCTGATCGACATCTAAAGCAACGCACATATAATCATCGCGTTTTCTATCAGCTGTTGCTCAAAGTCGACAATACAATTAATTGAAGGTCAATTCTATAAGACAAGTCGAGGCTAAAGGCTGGCCACGTGGCTGTAAGAATTATCTTCCAATCCTATTTTCCATTCTCAGAGGGAAACGCGACGTTTGCATTTTCAACTTTTAATATCCTCTTTACCCTAATTCTTCATTTCCATGCATAAGATTATCTTATCCTCCTTCGTATTATCCAGTACTTGCTTGTCAAAAAAAAAAAAAAAAAATAGCAATCTTCCATCCAGTCCCAAGGAGAGTAGCGAAATCTCATCTCTCTTCTCTCGTTCCTTCTCGATGAATGGGGTGTAATTTCACTTCCGTCGCTAATTTAACCCTTTTCTCCCGCGGAGAATCTTGCCGCGTCACGGAAGGATCGATGTTACGCAAGCGAAAGAATGTCATGAGTTACATCATAATCCCTCGTAACCCCGTGCATTCGATATATCGATTCGTCCCCCAACGACGTGACTCGACGTGACGTGAAGCGACGAGACGCGACGTGTCCTTGTTATTTCGTGCAACGGTCAGACGGTCACCAGACTGACGTAGATGAAAATAGGCAGGCGTATTTAGAACAAAACGTGGAAACGAATCGACAACCCCTTCGATGCAGACACGCTGAGCCTCGATCGATCGATATCGCATTCTTGCGATGACGGTACTCAAGGTCGGCAAGATAATCGAAAATCAACCCCAATTCCTTTTTGTATATATATATGTATTCTCATTTTATTCCTCGTATTTCTCTTACGCGTCAGAAGCAATCTTATACAGTGTTATATAGAGTGTATATCCAAATAAGTGTGAGAAATTTTAGGACATGATTCTTTGCCGACAATTAAGGATGAGGGTTTCTTCCTTGAGGAGTTACACTTTTCTCAAGAGGGAGGTCCAAATGAAGTTTTAATTATTTTAAAAAGGATATTCATTAATATCTTTTTTATCCTCTCTTGTATCGTTATAAGGGGATGAAATCCCTATTTTATTAGAACTTAACTTTTATATAAGAAAAACTGCTTAATTGTCGAATGTATAAGAATTATATCCTAAAATTTGTCGCACTTATTTAGATACACACAACTTATATATATGTATAAAATGCATCGCGCAATGGGGACAAATATAATGTGGTAATACATAGATTGTCGCTCAGCGTTCTCAGATAGAACGTCGCGATATATCAACGAGCGTAATGGTACACGTGTCGTAACATCGTAGATGAATGGATATGCGTGTTTATGCACCGTTGTGCATCAGCCGCGCCGGTTTTCCGAAGAGTGCACCGGTGAACAAAAGTCTGAATAGATATACCTGATAAGAGTAATCGTTTCGTGGAAATGAAATTTCTGCTTATTTATGAGAAAGGAAGAGAGAGAGAGAGAGAGAGAAGATGTAGGTAAATAGACATATAGTCGGAGACATATAGACCATAAATCGATATACCGTTCTCGAGAACCGTTTACAGTCTCTTTTAAAGCTATCGACCTTAATATCGACCAACGTAATAACACACATATATATATATATATAAATCTATATGCCGCGCGTTTCGTCGAACCTTTTGAGAGGTAGATTCGATGAAATAAGATACATCTGAAGTGCACCCATACGCACGAAGCTTTTAACAATGCTGTGCAAACCGGCGAGTTTGGAATGAGAAAAGTTGCTATTCCCCGCCGAGTGATTCTACTTACGCGTTCTATGCAAGTTACGAGTTCTGTGCAACTGGGTCACACCGAGAGGAATCTCTTGAAAAGCGTTTGATTTCCCATAACACCGTTACCTACGTTCGTCCCTTAACGTCGCTATTGAACGTGATTCATTATTTATTAAGTATCCTGCGAAGCTTTAAAATTGTCGCGTAATTATTAAAGTTACTCGCGTCGTATCGCTGAATAATAATCCCAATTAAAAATATTTTATTACAATATATATATAGAGAGTGAGAGTAAATTGCCAGAAAATGTATGATGTACAAAAATCAATGTATTAAAATTAAATTAAATTACACAAACATATTAAGTCGAGCGATAATTTCATTCTTGTTTATATATAGAATTTGTTTCAATAAATATATCGAAATATTATATAGCTTCGATATACTATATAATGGGATTATTTTTTAACGGATAATTTTACGAGATTTCTTTGCACTGTTTCAGAAACTCCAAAAATGTGAACGTATAAGGAAAGGCAAATGCCCAACAAGGCACGGCCTCGTCAAGAGTGGTCTCCTCAATCTCCTATAGATGTCTTGTAAGTAAAAAGTTACATATAGTATATATATATTTTGCTCTATATATTTCTTCTGCTTTTCGCTCCATTCGATTATATCGTGCGGTATCCGCGAGCGCTGTGTGTAATTAGTTGATTAAAGTTTCCGCGCTTGTATTTTCCTGATGAGAAAATTGCCGCTCTCCTTTATTGAATTAAATTAGATAATATTCACAATTTCAACAAAAGTGTACGGCAAGTTATATTATACTTACCTCTCTCTCTCTCTCTCTCTTAATTTTTAAATAGTTTCGCGTAAGGGAGCATGAAATCCCGCGGCCTTCACAAAGTGAAATCGGCCCCGGTGTCTATGAGATTATATTAACGCGGTGTAAACTTACTGACCGTATAATATACGGTTGATACGGCACGGCGATAATGAGTAAATGGCGCGGTCGTATTCGATAGTCACGAGAGAGATAGAGAATGGGGTGGCACTTCAAGCGCAGGGTGCAACGACGCGGAAGGCAACTCTGGAAATTGCAATTTGTCCGGATAACGCCGGGCCGCATATTTCCCATGGAAACACCTCGGCCCACCGCGTTGCCTCCGCATGGCACAAAGCAAATTTTAGCCAGAAAACTTGCGCATCAAATGGCCTCCCGTCACATCAGTGCGACGCAATGGGGATCGAGAGAAGTCGATTATAACGCCGACTATGTTGTTTCCCGAACTGAATATATACGCGTTCTCCAAATGCGAACGTATAATATTCAGATATGTACACGTGCACACGCGCGTAAAAGTCTCGTTCGCGGCATCAAGTATCTACTTATGCGATACGGAAAATTGTACGGGAAAAGCGTACACACACTCTTTGGCATATAAATACCTCCGCAATCTCTCTCGCGAACGTGCGCGGTTTTTCAAGATCCTTCGAAGGGGATGGAGAAAAAAAGAATGAGAAAGGGCGGAAAAGCGATTTCGTTAGCAACGACGCGACGGATTCGCTAATTGCGAGACTCGGATCGCAATTAAGAGCGACGAACGACGCGGGTCGAGAGAAATGTATAGGTTTTTCTATTACGCTCTGTCTCTCTATCTCGCCTGCCTCCTTCTGACAAATCAATGAGAAAGCAATGATGATGTAACGCGATGGATTAAAGCGTAGTATCGATAAACGTTGGAGGAGCCATTACGTCGGAATACAAAATGCAACCGCATCAAATTTAGATTGCGCTCTGTCTCAGGGGTACCGACCTTTCTGCATCATTTATAGCGGATCGATCCTCTCCGACTCTTCCACCTCTCCTTGACTATCTCTCTCTCTCTCTCTCCACGTCGCGTTTCACAAGTTCGTTAGCTATTCAGAGTTTAAGAGCTCGCGACTGCGACTAGTTTTCGTCACTTGCGAATTCCGATTCGTTCCGAGCTTCATCCTCCGTATAACTTTTACCACGAGATCTTATTCGCTCGGGAACATGTAATTTACATGCCTGTTGCGCTAATGCTGTAAACGTTTCGTTCAAGATGACAAATGCAATTTGGAGCCCAAGTCGAGCGAAAACGCGTCTGCTCCAGTCTGCTCGCTTCTTTTATCACTCATCCAACTTGCATAGTTATCCCGGGATAATTACTGATAATACACGTGTCGAAGAGAGAGAGATGTCCCCTAAAATGTAAAAAAAAAATATATATATATATATATATCTTCTTCGGAGATGTAGTTCTAGACTTTAATCGCGTTCCGATGAAGGTCCATTATTTCTCGCTTACGCGAAAAAACGGCAGCATGCGGGCCGATGATTTATCATTCGCGGAGAGAAAAAGAGAGAGAGAAACCACGAAATCTTAAACGTACATGGCTCGTGGTAAATCCACCGACAACGCCGATCGATACTTTTGAGCCCGCATTCAATGGCGAACGAAATTAGCGAGCGTGGCATTGACAACCGCTTTGTTCGTCCGTCACGCGATAAATTTGCGCTGGTAACCGTAGCGTTTCGTGTAAATGCCAATCAGCTGCGCATAATTATCAGTCACGAGCCACTGCGGTGGTTCTAAATTGTTTCGGGGCTCTTCTTTAGGGTCGAACAACGTTTGCGCGAAAAACAAACTCTTGGTGGATCCACACGGAGAGAATTTCCTCTTATTGTTGGAATTTACTCGGAAAATCATGGTAATTGTGGACAATTGGAAGAATTTTAGAAGAATTTCTCTGATTAATATATATGTTTATATGCAGTATAGGAAAATTTGTATTTTCCTGTTAAAAACGGTCCCCGTTGAAATTTTTCTGTTAAATATTTAACACATGAATGTGTTGATTTAATATATTGATGTTGCGTTAATTGGACTTTATGTTAAATTATTAAAATAACTGAAAAAATGTAAAAATAACACAACGTGCATCTATTTTTTATTTTACACCATAAATATATTCTGTTTTATTAATGACAAGATTTATCCGTTTAAAATTTAGAGGAAAAAATGTTGATTTATATATAATATAAAAGTAGGGATGATAGAATCTAAAATTAACATATTTTTAGTTAATTTTTACATTAAAATTACGTTAATTTTACATCAAATTTATTTTAAATTATTTGAAGCCTTGCATTTATTTTATGTTAAAATATTAACAGTATATTTAAATCTCCATTTAACATATCCATATCATACGAGTATAAAATTAACACATTTCCGTGAACCGTTTAGGACATGTGATATCTGTTAAATTTAACACAAATATTTCAAACATTAATATGTACATAATAAAATTAATCGAACATATATTTTACATCTTATTATTACGATAGATATTAATATTTTTAATCAGAGAAACCTCTTACAAAAATATCATAAATATTATATTATTCTACGATCACCATGATTTTTGGAGCAAATATTCTAAGAAAAATTCTATATACATGCGCGTACGCGTGCGATCAATAAATTCTTACACATTTGCGTAGAAATGAATTCCGATAAATCCAGCCTCGGGAACTTAAAGTTGTAATGGCCTGTGCAAGTTTAGATTAGAGTACATCCGCGCGGCGCACTGTAATAATCGACGATCACGCCGGGGTTTAATCATTCCTGCCGCGCCTCGTCGAGGAAAGAATAAATTAGAGACACCGTCCGTAACTAACGGCGTTGTTGCGTGCCGAGGAAGAGGAAAAAAAAAACGAGAGACTAACACGATTGCCCTTTGAGAAGCAAGCTGATATCTCTTGGAATCGCAAATAAGAAAGAGAGTAGTTTGAATACGTTTCTGACAATCACTCGTTCGGGTTTGTCGCAGGTGGATGTCCCGCTCCGCCATGAGGCCGGCCGAGGGTGACGTGTCGGATTGCATCCTGGTGGTCGGCGTATCCAGATCGAAGATGGCCGTCGCCTTCCTGTCGGTCGCTCTGCTATCCCTCTTCCTCACCTTCCACATACTTTACGACAGCGCCGTTTACAGCCTCCACGCGGTCTCCGCCGTCGAAGGACGCACGGTCGAGTTGGTCTCCCAGGTACGTATCGTCTCTCTCTCTGTCTTTCTCTCTATTCCCGAGTAGAATTCCATATCGCGTTTAATGTCTCCGAAGACCATCCACGTACAATCCGCCAACTGCTACGGATGATTTATGGCAGGTACGCGCGACGCCGCCGCTCCTTTTCTCAACTTCCAAGGTACACTTTCCGCGAACGAATCGCCATCTCCCCCAGGCCATCATAATCGGCGTACGCAAATGCGGCACGAGGGCGTTGCTGGAGATGCTCTTCCTGCACCCGCAGATACAGAAGGCGGCCGGCGAGGTCCACTTCTTCGACCGCGACGACAATTACGGGAAGGGTCTGGAATGGTATCGACGAAAAATGCCGTACTCGTTTAAGGGACAGATCACCATCGAGAAGAGCCCGAGTTACTTCGTGACCCCCGAGGTACCCGAGAGAATTCGCGCGATGAACGGCAGCGTCAAGCTGCTGCTGATCGTCCGGGAACCAGTTACTCGAGCGATATCGGATTACACGCAATTGCGCACGCACGCAGCGACCGCGTCCACGTTGACCAATGTTAACAATGGTACGCCACAACAGCAGCAACAACAAACGACCCGCTCTTTCGAGGAGCTCGTTATACGACCCGATGGTACCATTAACGAATCCTACAGACCGGTCGCCATCTCTCTCTACCACACGTATATGCACCGTTGGCTGGAGGTGTTCCCGAGGGAGCAGATCCTCATAGTGAACGGTGATCAGTTGATCGAAGACCCGGTGCCGCAGCTGCGCCGAATCGAGAATTTTCTCGGGCTTGAGTCGCGTATCGGTCGGCACAACTTCTACTTTAATCACACCAAGGGCTTTTACTGTCTGAGAAACGAGACCTCGGAGAAGTGTCTGAAGGAGAGCAAGGGTCGCCGTCATCCGCGCGTCAGTCCGATGGTCGTGACGAAGCTGAGGAAGTTCTTCAACGAGCACAATCAACGCTTCTACGAGCTGGTCGGTGAAGATCTCGGCTGGCCGGAGGAATAACCATTGTGGAAAGTACCGGCTCGTTGGTTGTCGACGCGGGTCGCGCACGATCGTTTAACTAGGATCGAATATCCTTTCGTCACCGAAGAAGAGACCCCGTTACCAATCAGCGGTGAAATTCACCACTGCGAGAAGATCCGAGAGCTGACGTCGTCGTTCCTGGACTCTTGGGGGATTACATCGTTTCCATCGACAACCATATCTCTGATCTGACCTCTTCGGGGACACCGACAAGGATAAGTAGTTTATTTATTAAAGTAGTTAATTGAGCCCTTTGTTTTTTTTTCTTTTTTTTTTTAGAAAAAGAGATGTAACGGGCTGATGTTACACACGATGAGAAAGAGAGAGAGCATCGACGTTGACGGATGCACGCGAGAGCGTCTTGTTATTAAATTATCAGACGTGTACGCGTATGTATACAAGGACACGCACACATGAATGTATACACATACATACACACATGTACACAGACACAAAGTTACAATAACGCCGGCCAAAATAAAATAGAGACGCGGATCCGCGAGACAAACCGCAATCGCTTCGCGGATCCACGCGGCATACGGATCACATTGGTCCGTGACTTTACATATCAATTTTACATATCGATAGTTTACATATCAATAGGTTAACTAGTTCGTACGACAAAGATTGAATATTTTTATAATCCACATTGGAAGTTGTTATATCGCTTATGTCGTTAAGGATATTACATATAATACGCGAGGGATCTCTCTCTCGCGACGATCAAAAAGGATCGAAAGTTTTATTTATTGCGCCCCGCGCATGCACGATCCACTATATATATATATATCATCGTGAAGGAGAGAAAGGAAGGGAATAATTACGCCAATTCGCGTTTTTTTTTTTTTTTGGCGAATAAAAAAAAATTCGAAAGCAAAAACCGAACACGCGATCTTTTATTTCTCGCCGACTCTATTTCTTCCCTCTCGCGGAAGAACGTTCTTCTCCATCGTTCTCTGACACTGGATATCGGCGCAAGCGTTCCTCTGGGAACACGAAGAGAAGTAGGGTGGAATCCGACCAGCCGCGAATAAACTCGTCAGCGATGGATGTAAGGGCTTCGCCGAGAGGCTACGTCGTACAAATCTTTATAATCGATTATTTTCCAAATCCCGATAGAGAGCTTGCAAAACGCGCGCGCGTCCGCACTGACGGAAAAATTTGTTAACTTGACTCTAAAACCTTTCAACAGAATTACTATTTTGTTAAACATTGAACTAATTAGTATTTAAGTCAAATATACATTTTGTTGGATTTAATATGTTATACTTAATTTAAATATTTCGATACGTTCAATTAACAAAATAATATTTAATTGAAAGATTTTATCAAGAGTTTTAATCAAATTAATACATTTTTTTCCTAATCCATATAATATTTTACACGCGCCATACAAATAACTTTTATCAAAAGAGATCGAATGTGTTACGTGCGTGCGATAAAAGCGATAAAGCAAAAATGCATCAATGATTTATCCTCGGCGGTTGTGCCTGCTCCGAAAGAGTTGTGAATAATTACATGGATAATTAATAATTCGGCCCGACGTCGACGAAGGGTGGTAGACGACGCCGCGAGATGGAAATTGAGATCAACGTCCTTCAGAGAGTCTGTTCGCGGTTTTCCAGGCACGTTAAACCTCACGGTAACGAATTACGCGCAGCGGTTCTGCGCTTTCGAGCAAAAAGAAATTTTTTACACGACAATTTTTATACCGTCGATAAGAATCGCTGACGATTATTAACGCAATAATACACGCGTCTGCAATCATCGAGAACGCGGGAGAAAAACACAGAAGCGCGGGATAAAAGAGACGCGCGCGAGAAAACGACAGGCGGCTTGCGACAAGTTTTTCTCTCGGAAGGCTGCGAAAGCGCCATAAATAATCCGCTTTATACGGCGCAAGTGAATCGTGCATGAGCGGCAAAGTGCATCGTGCGTTAATTCGTGCGATAAATCGCACGCGGTCGCTTCAGGCTCCGTTTCAGGCGGCCGGAGAGATCTCGAGGGTGATTCGCGATTCGAGACCGAGTGCGTCAATTTCCTCGCAGAATGGAGAGGAATCTCTCCGAATATTTGATACGTCTGGTACGTCTTTGTAAAATCAAGAGATACGGCGAGTTAAAGCTCTCGTGGGGAGAGAAAAAAAAAGTTCTGTTTGCGTCGATTAAATTACTTTCAACGAGAAGAGAGAATGTTTATCTTTAGTACACTACGAGAGACGACTGAACCTAGTTTTTATTTATAGCTATTTAAAAGCGAAGAGAGCCTCGCTTTATATCCCGACCCCGTTAATTAGAGCTTGTCTCCGCAATTTCCTTCATGCAGCCGCCGCGATGCTGTTACACGTGGCTCGATCATCAGCCAAAGTTTTATCCAATTCGACAATCTTTCGGCTTTCAAAGTACAAAGAAACAACGATAAATTTCTGGTTCAGAGCGAATCTCAAAGAGAATCCCATCGCGGGGATCTTCCTCTCTGCGCTTCGATCTAATTTTTGTCTTTATTGCATTCGCGTAAGTGCTTTGTATTATTTTCATTCAACTAGTTGAACCGCGACTCGCAACATCGTCATTATTACGGTTTAATAGTTCCTGATTCAATTATTTCATTAAAAGAATTTTTAGCAAAATTTTCTCTTCGCATCTCCACTGTGTTTCTTCGATGCCGCGCGCTGTGCATTTTAAAATTTTTTAAGTACAAAGAAACAAAAGTTTCACTTTGTTGTACAAAGGATTCTCAAGAAATTTTAATTCGCCGCGCGCTTTCCTTCAAAATCGCCGCCTCGAATTTCTCATGTACATTTTAATTTTAATTCGCGAAAATATGGAAAGATATATAAATCCCTCCTTAAATTACTTTATAATGCAATTTACAGAGATCGCTCGGAACATAGATCTTACGCGATTAGATTAAGAGGGCAAATTCATATACATACTTATATATATCCGAGAGAGAATACTTCTTTCTCCGCTTTCAAGTCTAATATTGGGTCGATATGGAGAGCGGACAATTGCTGTATATTTTCGCAAGTATATTTTCAATTGCCAAGTAGCAGCGTGACCGAGGACGAATTTGAAAAAGTCACGACATCAAAGTCCCTCTTGCAACCTTCCAGTAACCTCGCGGACTGGAATATTCAATTCCACCTTGACTCGACGATGATCAAGTGGATTCGTGACATTACACGCGTAACACGCGATCGCCTTTTCTCAGCCTCGCTTTAAACGCACGCAAAAAACGCACATACTCGCTCGATATTCCTCCTCGCGATCGCGTTACGATTTTCGACCTCCGCATCCAATTATGGAACTTGTAAGCCTTAGAAGTCACGGCATTCTGCTCGATAAGAAGCGTAACTAGTTCTACCCTAATCATCTCGCATTACGCTCGGTTACGCTTATTTCAATGTCCGAGAAAATATTTTCTCTGTTTCTGTCAAACGAGTTCTTTTACATTCTAACAAGTATTTTTTTACACGAGATTGCCGCGACATTTGTTCGTTGATTAATCGATGTATTCTCCCTTTATTCGAAAAAATAAATACCAGGAAATGTCGAGCGAGGATTGGCACGTGGCTAAATGTTTGATTGTAATAATGTCCGAATTATACGTAGCCGGAGAGAAGGAGAGAACGAAGACGCTTTCATAAAAAATATTAAATTTCCGCGACTTGTAGCGAATCTCCCGTCGAATCCTCCATCTGTCGTTTCAGGCGTCATTGAACTTACGGTGAAAAATATGATCTCTCCAGTGCAAGGCGAGATAAATATTGTTCCTATAGCTCTCCTTCCTTCTCTCAACCCTCTCTATCCCTCGTTATTCCGCGGAAGGGAATGGGCAAAAGTTTCATTCCCTGACGCGCATCGCGCGATCACGATATTCTCCCTCGGCCTCCGCGGCCCCGGTCTCGGGTTATTCACCCCGACTTTAGCAGAGTTAACACCCCTTTTCCTCTTGGCGAGTGTTTTTTCACCTCTTCCCGATCTTTTTTTTTTTCCCATTTGTCGATGTCCGGTCAATCTACGAGGGATTTCGCGCGCGGCTTTTCCATCCGTCGCGATACAACAAATATTTCGAAACGTCAAAAAGCTTGGCGCGAAGAGTTCTGCAAACAGGTTCGTCTTCTCCCTCACGGTGGGAGGGAAGAGTGAAATATGAAACGCTCTCGTCGTGTATATATATATATATACGCTTTGTTACGCGTGTCCGCGTGTTGACCCATAAATGCGAATGCGCGTCGAAAGTGCAGAAATTGAATTGGGGTCTTTCAAACAGAAAACAGCTGCTGCCCGGATAACCTCTTTTGCCCCGACTGATCGATATTGCTCACCATTCACGCGGACGTCCGGCGAAATGTACGCAGATCCGGCGGATCCCTCTTGTCCTTTTCGTCTCCATTACGGATGCACCCTCTACGGAGCGGCCGAGATGAATATGCATTTTCTAGCGAGCTCGCCACGCGAAAGTGCTGAAATTTGTAAAGACCCGTCCGGAGCGCAAGCTTGGCTCTCTCTCTCTCTGTCGTCCCGACAACTATACCCTGTACAACCCCATTTCCTCGGCTCTTCTCGCTGGATAATAACGATTCAAGGGATGTAGGCTGGACAAAGAATCATCTTTGCGCGCTGAGGTTTTTTTTTTTTTTTTTTTTTTAAAGCGTCGACCGCGTCGAAACTTTTTTCCAACGTTCTCACGTCTATTTTTCTTTTCATTTTCTTCTTCCTTAATATTAATATCGATGCCCCGGACACAATAAAGTTCTCCGATGCGAGTCGCGGCAGGCGCTTCTTTTCGCGTGTGATGAATATGCATTTTATGCAAAATTGCAACCGCATTCGCCGACTTCGAAGGAGGAAGAAAAGCCTTCGTATAGGAAGGAAAGGCCCGCCGCTTAACAATCCCGCGCAAATGAAGGATTTATGCAAGATTGCACAAGAGATGGCGAATTCTAATCTAATTACCTCGTGCGAATTCGCATACTCGTAAAATACTGACCGACCTCTCTTTTCTTCTGCTATACTGTAAATCTATTAACTTGAATTTGAATCTGACTCGATGTTTAACGGAATTCTCTTTATTCGAATCCTCGTTCGAATGTTCTCTTCCTTCTATGTTTTACGTGGCCGATGATAAAATGGTTCCAAAACCACAGGAGCCCGAATTATCTAGGATGACTCTCGCAAGGATTGGAGCAATTTTTAGGAGAGACTCAACTGATTCTATTTTCAGTATAATAATAATGAAAGATTTAATAAAGATCAAACACTTGTACAGTAAATCACTTCCCAAACGAACTCTCATGCACACGATATAAATGACGGAAACGCCGGATATCGCCAAAATCATCTGCGCGCCGTTTACGATACAAAGTCGAAGAAAATTGGAAAAAAGATACAACGCGTCGGGAAAATCAGATATGCATAGATAAGGGTGGGAGCAGGAAGGAATGTCCTCCCCATGGGGGACGAGAGAGAAAATTTTATAGCGCGTCGAGAGTATCAGGTATCTAAGCGCGTACGATAAAATTCAGGATCGATTCTCTCTTAATAGCGTATTACTATGCGATACTCTGCGTGGGCGGTGGATTACTTGGGTCTCGCGGGATAATAATAACGCGGCAATCAACCCTCGAGAAGTTTCGCGGAATAACGGCTTAATTATGCACGCGAAACGCCGGCGGAATTCGCATGTCGAATGGATAGACGCGAAATTGAATTGCAACCCTGACGGTCGCTTTGAACACTTACAATAGATTTTTGGATCAATAAAGCGCTTTTTTTTTTGTTTTGACAATTAAAAGCGAAACATCATAATGCATACACGTTATATACATTGTGCAAAGAAAAAAAAATATAGACCCGTGTTTTTGTTTGTTTGCAAAATTCTTTTACATTTTTATTAAAGCGGTATAATTGCTCGACTTGTTTGAACGTTATTATTGTTTGTAATAATAATAATAATATCGCTGTATATACATATTTGTATATACACATATTTTTCGTATTTTCATGGACGGAAGTAAAAATGGTGGATTATTCCGACAGTTGCGGAATACGGTATAACCGGGCAACGCGTGGGGTGAAAAGCGAAAAAGCGTGAAAACACGGGCTGTTATCCCGCGAAAATCTAATTAATCGCTCGCGCACGCTTTTTTTCACATACATTCGAAAACTCCGGAACCTTTAAAAATTTTTCGACC